CAACTGGCTCCTCTGTTCTCTGGTTCTGATCCATGCTGCATGTATTTATGGATCCAGTATTGTTTATTTTCCTCTCAGTCTCTCTTGTAGATATGATGGGATGTGATTGACGAGAATATCTGTCACCAACAATACCGGCTTGGCTCAGACAGACACCAGTTACCTCTAAGAAGGTTAGAGGTCTTTAGAATAATCCTGTGTTGAGAAGCTTCAGTTCTTACATTAAAATCTTTAGATGCGGACCGTTTGACCTCTGGAGTCCGACAAGATGCCCCAAGGAACCAGGAACCAGGAAAGTTTCCGTGATGGAACACGGGAGGTGATGTTCTCCTGATCAGCGCCTCCGCTTCCTGCTGAGTTGTCGGTTTTGTTCCTGGAACAGTTTGTGCAGTTCAGCAACAATGCTCTGCTGTGTACATCTGCTGTGCTCCGGGGCTGTTTCTTTTTGCATTTTGCGGCTCACAGACATGCTGCAGGCGTGTAATTGTGACTGCTGAAGTGTTTTTCCTGCAGCGCTCGAGCTTCTCCCATGACTGCTCAGCTGAACCCGTCCGCGCTCCGTCATAATCCCGTCAGGCATTCGGCCGGGCCGGAGCAGGAAAATATCTTTGTTGCAGAGAAAGAAAAGGAGAAAAAAAAAAAAGGCGGTGTGCCTTAATTGACGGCTGGTGGAGCTGTGCAGGCGTGTTGTTGTTGTCGTCGGCCTGTACAGGATGTTACAGCGAGCCCCTGGATTCCTGGTCCAGAATGCAGGACATGACACTGCAGCTATATGAGGCAGCTCGTCGACCTCTGCAGGTTATTTTCAGTGCGAGCTGCAGACATTCCTCATATTTGGAATGCGGCCTCTCCGTTATATGATTTCAGAGTTTTCCGCCACATTGTCTGTTTCATATCCCGTTGCTCCACACGGGAACATGATGCACGTAATCGCTATTTCAGGGTGCAGAAGTGAAATCTGTATGATTTCGTTGAGTCCACTGATAAAACTTAAACGATGCAAAATGATATTTAGACGTTTGCACCATTTTAAAACTTTACTGCAGGACATAAATGAACATCCATTACATTCAAGGCAAACAAGTCCACTCAGTGCAGATTAAGTCAGGCAGTTTCTGGGTCGATCTTTGTTTTCTGGGAATTTCTGAGAAATTCAAATTACCTGTGAAGCCATTTTAAAGGCTCAATATCTCCAGAAATAAAACTCCAACAGCCATGAGATGCAGTGACGACTCAGACAGAATAGTTTATATCAGATCAGAACCATTGAATGGATCCAGCAGAGGACACAGTTTGAATTATTGGACCTTAAAAATGGGGAAAAAGTGCAAAATTTCCACTTGATTTTGGTGTTTTGTCTCCACAAAGTTCTTGAGTGTGAGAACTGTGAGCTGCTCACACGTGAAAATACATCAGTTTGAGTTTATCTGTTGTTCTGGATCCAAAATGAAGTTCTGTGAAATATTTTTGGCTGAATTTGGAGAATTTCTTGTTTTCAGACGTGTAATTTTTGCATTTTCATCCGTGAAGCCATTTTAAAGGTTCAATATCTCCAGAAATAAAACTCCAGCAGACATGAGATGTGGTGAGGACTCAGACAGAATAGTTTATATCAGATCAGGATGATTGAATGGATCCAGAAGAGGACACAGTTTTGATTAATTATTGGTGCTTGAAAATGGGGGGGGAAAAGTTCCTTTAAAGTGTCTATCTATGGATGGATCCATGGTTCTACTAGAATCCAGTCTCTGGTCACATTTCACCACCTGTTGAGGCTCTAACATCAGCAGAACCTGGTGTGGTGAAGTTGGACCAGACCAGGTTCCAGGTTTTGGCTATTCTGACACAACAAAACACCAGTATAGGACGATTTGGACCATTTTTGTGTCATTTTGGACATTTTTTTTGTTGAGAATTTTAGGCAGATCTGCAGTTATTTCAGACGGACAAGATGGTTTTGAGCAGATCATAATGATTAAGTGACTCCGAAAGAGGAAAGATTTTAATTATTGGCCTTTGAAAATGGAAAAAAAGTGCAGAATTCCCAATCCAGGCTGGTATTGTGTCCCCAGACAGCTCCTGTAAGTGCATATATATGGAAGGATCCATGTTTTCTACTGAAATCCAGTCTTTGGTCAACATTTCACCACAGATGACTTAAAACTTGTTTAAAATGGCTCAAAATTTGTCCAAAATGGGTAAAGATGCTCCAAAATAACTTGAAACGTGTCCCAAAAGACTTAAAACTTGTGCAAAATAAGATAAAAATGGTCTGAAATTGTCCAAAATGATGATGATAAATAATAATTGGCCTTCGGAAATGGGGAAACAAGTGCCCCACAAAGTTCCTGTCAGTGTCTGTCTATGGATGTATCCATGGTTCTACTAGAATCCAGTCTCTGGTCACGTTTCACCAACTGTTGAGGCTCTAACATCAGTAGAACCTGATGTGAGCAAAGTTTGATGACACAAACCTGTTCAAAACGTGTCTAAAATGACGTAAAACTTCCAGAATAACTCAAGATTTGCCCAAAATGACAATAATAAATAATAAAACAGTGAAACAATCCTACTAACATGGACAGTCTGTGTACCCAGAGACTAATAAAAACACATAATTTAGCCAATTTGTTGCACTGAAAAAATGTGAGTTTATTTAGAAACAACTCCACAGATTCAGGGATTATCTGGTCAGAGTGAGTCCGATCGGCTGCACCCAGTGTTTCGTTTGTTTGACAGAAGTTTCTGCATTTGCCTGTAAACTAAAAACCAACATCCTTTGTTCTGCAGCGACGTGGAGGCCAAACGGAGATCTCGTTGGCTGCAGAGCGTTGGAATGCAGTCAGAGCAACGCAGCTTATCTGCTTCCATCAGCTGTAGCTCAACCTCTGGAGTAAAATCCACGACTGCTGGAAGCCACAGGTTTAAGTTTACGTCGCTCTCCGTCAGCAGCTGTCGAGAATTTGCAATTAAACGCAATCTGAGGGGATTTGAAGGATCTTTTTTGCAGGTGATCTTCATCTGGAGCAGGATGAAGCTTCTTTGTTGGGCCTCAAAACTTCCTCTGGACAGGAATAATAGGGAAAGTGTTGAAATGATCTGTTAATTTATAGATAAAATGGGTCCACCAGGTGAAATGAATGGTCTTTGCGCTGGATTGCATCATAGTTCACTGCTGTTAATGCACCTTCTCTGTAAGCTACATGAGGTTATGCTGTAAAATAAGCTAAAGTAGGAGCATTACAGAGAGGACGATGTCCTATTTGGCAATAATCGTCACACCAGGCGCCTGTTTCTCGACATCTTTTCTAAAATCATCTTTGCTTTTTGTTTCTTGCAGAAGCAGCTGAACATGCTGGGAGTCCAGTGCTGAAGGAAGCAAACGTGGAAGACGAGAGCTAGCGTTAGCATTAGCGTGGACGCCGGTCAGCAGCCGATCGGATGGGGGAGACGGAGGACGAGCGGACGGCTCAGGCCAGTCAGCTCTTTGAGACCTTCGTCCAGGCCTCCACCTGCAAAGGGACCCTGCAGGCCTTCAGCATCCTCTGCAGGCAGCTGGAGCTGGATCCGCTGGACCACAGCAGCTTCTACAGCGCGCTGAAGGCCGCCGTCAGCTCCTGGAAGGTCAAAGCGCTGTGGACCAAGCTGGACAAAAGGGCCCAGCAGAAGGTCTACAACCAGAACAAAGTCTGCCAAGGCACCAGGGTAAGAACTGCAGCTGAGTCTGAATGGTAGAAAACTAGCTTAGGTGGAGCTTTTTCGTAGTTGCAGCAGTAAAGACCCGATCACACCAGAAAAAGTGAAATCTAAGAGTTGTTGAGGAGCTGCTGTAGCTTGTGAGCTAACCGCTAACACGCTAGTTGGGCTACATCCACACCAATATGAAAATGATTACCGTAATTTCTGGACTATAAGCCGCTACCGTTTTCTTTGAACGCTGCGGCTTAAACAACGATGAGGCTAATTTATGGATTTTTACGAATTTTACTCGAGACCAAAGTGACGCTGAGAGCGACGACGACAGAGAGACTGAGGAAGTGATGACGTGATTCTGAGGCTGTTCAGCTCCTGGAGACACTGAAGAAGACGACTTTAGTGGTTTTAGTGCAGGAGGAAGATGAAGATAGCCATCAGTGACTTTTCCTGGTAGCTGCTGGAGTTTTATTTCCTTAACCAGCCGTGTTATGGGAACTGTTCAGAAAAAAGCATTTGTGTATGTTAGCGGTACGTATTTAATTACATGGACACCTGCAGCTTATTACGGTGGCCCAGAAGTGTCACAACAAAACAAAAGCCACAACACAACACAACAGCTGCAGGGGAAGTTGTTTTTCTTAACCCGGAAGTGATACTGTGAAGTGCACCACCACAAGACGTGGGCAGAAGCCGGAGATTGTTGGAAACAACTCGAAAGTAAGTAAAATACTGATGGCAAATAGTGTCCATTAATCTCGGTATGTGCTATTAGTAAACATTATTTACAATCAGTATTTTACTTACTTTCAAGTTGTTTCCAACAATCTCCGGCTTCTGTCCACGTCGTGTGGTTGTGCACTTCACAGTATAACCTCCGGGTTTAAAAAAAAACCCAACAACTTCCGTTGCAGCTGTTGTGTTGTGTTGCGGCTAATTTTTTAGCGTTGTGGTTAATTGTGTTGTGTTGTGGCTTATTTTGTTGTGTTGTGGCTTTTGTTTTGTTGTGACACTTCTGGGCTACCGTAGCTTATGGACAAGTGCAGCCTGTATATGAACACAACTGGTTTTCTTTCTAAAGTTAGTGGGTGCGGCTTATATTCAGGTGCCTCAGTAGTCTGGACATTACGGTAATTTTAAAACAGGTGACTTCTGTTAAGGTCGTACCAACCATCCCTGTCAGGAATGTTGTTTTGTCCACAATCCGATTAATTTTAATGTTTTAGGTCCAAATTTGCAAAGCAAAGGTACAAAGCGGCTCCAATGACAGAAGCTTCAGTGGCGTGAAGGTGATTTAAATGCTGCTCGTCCTTCTCAGGTTGTTTTTGTACAACTCCACTGTTCAAATAGTCCCAAATAGACCCACGCTTTGTTAATTAGAACTGTTTTAATTCAAGAGGAGAACTGCAGAAGTCGTGGTGTTAATTCTGGAATTCAATCCTCTGCTTCAGAAACAACCGAAGCACTTTCTCGTGTTATGACGGCGACTCTATGCAGCGTTTTGTTGTTTGTAGCTGAACTGTGAGTCACCACCAGAATAAGTGTGATGAATTGTGTAACGTAGGAGTGAAGCCCAACAGTCTGCAGTGTTTGCTCTGTGGTCGGCAACACGGTTAAATTTACACATGAGAAATCATCAGATAAGCACAAGACACAGCTTTGGTTGGAGGGAATGTGTTCAGGGTTTGTCACGACGCCGTTCGACTGCAGGAGGCCGAACCGGGCCGAAGGATGAACAGCATCAGTGTTTGTGAGAAAAAAGTCTTTTCTTGAGTCGAGGAGAGCGTATATTCCTTCTGAAATGATGTCTTTAATCTGTCAAAAGCAAGAAAAGGGGGTCAGGAATTTGGTTTATTTCTTCAAAAACCCACATTAGGAGCTTTGCCAGTGTGGATTTGTTGAGAATTAATTATGTGAGTGGATTATTTCTGTAATTTTATGCAAATAAATAATTAGATTATTGTAATCCCAACACTGAGAAGCTTTTGTTTTTGTGTATTTAGCTTCAGTGTTCAGTAACTGGGACCCTTTTTTTTTTTTTTTGTCAGATTTTTTTCTGTTTTGTTAAATTACAGATAATTACTCGTAAAATCACCAAAACAATACGTATATACTCTGCAGCCCTAAAGAAAAACAAAAAACGGTAAATAATGTCCACATCAAAAATCTGTATTTTTACAAATATTAATTTCTTCTTTTACACACAATTACACATTTTTCCCACATTTAGGTCAATGAGAAATATCATTACTTTACAGATGTTTGGCATTATTTAATGTTGTTTTACAGATTTCCCGTTTTGTTAAATTGAAGATAAAATTTTGTAAAATTCCAAACAATTATAATTTACATGTTAACTGTAAATTAAAAAACAACAACAACAAAAACAGGCCTAAACTGTAAATAATGTCCACAGCAAAAATCTGTATTTTTACAAATACTAATTTGTTCTTCTACAATATGTGACTGTAAAATTACACAATTTTTCCTGCACTTAAGTCAGCTAGAAGTATTATTATTTTACAGATATTTGCCATTATTTAAATGAATGTAAAATGTTTTACAGATTTCCTGTTTTGTTAAATTGAAGATCATATTTAGTAAAATCAATTAATTATTAATTTACATGTTAACTGTAAATGAAGAAAAGGCCAAAATTATAAATAATGTCGACATGAAAAGTCTGTATTTTTACACATATTAATTTGTTCTTTAACAATGTGCACATATAAATATGAACGGTTTTACTGTATTTAAATCAGCAAAAATTGTATATTTTTATTAATTTATTTTTTTATAAGTAATTGCTGTTATTTAAAAAAATATATATATATAGAATATGACAAAAATATAAATCCTTGTTTTACATATTTTCCCTGTTTTGTTAAATTGAAGATAATATTTAGTAAAATCAGAAACAATTAGAATTTACATGTTAACTGTAAATTAAAAAAAAAAACAGGCCTAAACTGTAAATAATGTCCACATCAAAAATCTGTATTTTTACAAAGAACAAGTTGTTCTTTAACAATATGCACATATAGATATAAACAGTTTTACTGTATTTAAATCAGCAAACATGTGGCTTTTTTTGTTCGTATTTGCTGTTATTTGAAAGAACAGTTATGTGTATTAAGGATTGAAAAATGCTAATTAGTTTTTTGACTCTTGTGTAGTTTTTTTTTGTTTTGTTAAAGTACAAATAATATTAGTAAAATGCTTAATTTACATGTTCACCATTAAAACGGCCAAACGTGTGCATGATGTCCAATGCTGGCCTGTGGAGGACGTCATGTCCTTTAAATGTCGAGGCTTCTGTCCTTCGCCGCACACGTCAACAGTCTTCAGACTAAACTCAAACCAGACAGGATTCCTCTTCCACGGCAAAGCCTCCGTCAGTCATGCTGCTGAACACGCTCTGGTCACCATGGCAACACTCCCGATTCTGGATTAGGGCGACATCGTTTACAAAATGGCTCCAAGCACAAAAAGTGGACTCTCTTCATCACTCAGCCATTCACTGTGCCGCTAACGCAGCCTTCCACACTCACCACTGTGACCTCTATGAACCGGTGAGGCGGTCCCCCTTCAAACTTCACCACTGGTTTCATTTACAAGCCAGTTCTGGCCCAGACACCTCCCTACCGGTCCTCTCTTCATCACGTCGTCCATAATCCTTATCATACTGGGTCTAATGAACACATCAAGCTCATCAGCCCCAATACTTCTGCTATTTTTAGCCATAACTCCTTTGCAGCAGCTAACAGCTAACGAACCTTATGAAACACTCTCAAACTCTGCTCACCACCTTCAAGCTTCAACAGACTGTAGTCGACTGGTGCTGCTGCTGATCACGCTGGACTTTACTTACATACTTCTGTACACTGTCTTACACCTCATGCACATCTCTTTTCACTCACATGCACATGCCCTCGTGCTTCCTACTGTTTACTTTTGTCCTATGTTGTGTTTAAGTGCGTCTGTAATTTACATGTGTGTTTGTTCCTGCTGCACGGCGCCTCCCGGCCAGGTCGTGTTTGCTAAAGAGAACTGGTTCTCAAGCATTTTTACCTGGTCAAATAAAAATAAAATTAAAAAATCATTCAAAATCTATTTTTTTTTCAATACAAACGCTAATTTGTTTTTGTACAGAATGTGGCTGGAAAAATGTACAGTTCAAGTAGCTTCACACATATCTGTCGTTATTTTCACCTTTTCTAACATTTTTCAATATCTTTTTTCCTCTCGCCTTTGCTGCCAGATCAGTTTTGTACATTTTGTTTTTATTCTAGAAGCTGAACCTTCCACTGGTCACACTGTGCTGAACGTTTCACACCGACACGGCGTGAAAGTCCACATCTGGATTTCACGCGATGCTGCTGGTGTGTCACATTCTGGGTCATGTGCTGCTGTCCGACCACGTATTTATATTTATACGCCGGGGAGAGAGCTCCTATCTGAGGGAGAAGATAAGGCGTCCGCAGGGGAAAGAGCCTCGGAGGGAGATTAACCCAGAAGGGCCGGGCCAAAAATAACAGCCCCGCTATTATTCCAGACATTTTTGCTGCTATTTGGAGAAATATGCTGCAGCCGAGGCCGGGTGGGCCGTTTACCCTCTGAAACGCTTAAAGGCAAAATTAGGGCAGATGATTGAGCAGTTTGGAGGGTTTTTTTGCAGCTTAGTCGTGTGTATTTAGTTCTTTTACATGGAAAATGGTGCAAATCGCCGCGAGTCACACTTCAGACCGTTAGAGTAACATTACCCAGATGGAGGCGAGAATTGTTTTTAATTTCCCTCGTAGCCGTAACTGGACCTGGAAGTCAGACTTTGAGGGACTTCTTGTTTTCTTTTTCTCTTCTCAGTCCATAAACAGAACAAACACAAGATCCTGTTTGACACTTTACTTCTTTCTGTCACGAGCAGGAAGGTGCAGAAACGCCAGTCGGTCTCCAGCTTCTGCAAATTCTCGTAGTTTAGTCGTAGCAGCTGGACCTGCTTGAGTTCCTTGAAGACGTTCCACCTCTCATCCAGGAGGCTTCATCAGCTCTGACTGACTGGTTGGGAGATCCAGATATCCTTAAGGAGCCGTTAACACCTGAGTTTTAATTGGGGGTTTGTTGCTCCTCCCCCTCGTTATGCGAGTCGCCCAATTGAAACCCAAACTCAGGATGGAAGTATGTGGAACTCCCAACTCGTCAGTCAGAGCTGATGAAGCCTCTTGGACGAGAGGCGGAACGTCTTCAAGGAACTCAAGCAGGTCCAGTTGGTTACTGCACGAGAACAACCACGACCTGGAGGACTGAGAATCTCCACAGACATCTTCTGCAAACAATTTAGAAAAGACAGAGCTTCGTTGTTCCTCCGATATTCACCGTTTGACTCCTGGATGTTGCTGCTGCTGCTTCAGTAATTTAGGAGTGACATTTGCTTTGTAAGTGCTTGTTGGAATTAAACGTTATGATGCTGCAGCGTTCTACCAACATGTCCTCAAAGCAGCCAGTACGTTTTCTTGTCCTCTTACACTGTCTGCAGTTCAGCCCAGAAGTCGCTTCACCATGCTGAATGTATCTCCAACAACTTGCTTCTCTGTAAACGGGTTTTTCTGCATTTATTTTATCCATCCAGTAGGTTTGGTTTTCCTCTCAGCCTCTGTTGTCGTCTGTTTGTGACATAATTGTGACATAAAGTCCAGTTTAATTGGAGTTTTGTAAAACTTTAAACTCTAAAAACAAACTCTCAATTCAACTCAGCCTTATTCACAAAGCACTTGAACACAACACAAGTCGAAACAAAGTGCTGAACACAACATCTAAAACGATTTAAAACATCTAAAATGCAAAATACGATAAAATTCTAATAAAATCATTAAAGAACAATAAAACGATAAAACAGGAGCGTCATGCCGGTTGGAAGGCCAGGGCGTAAAAATTAGTTTTCAGACGGGTTTTAAAAGTTAAAAACTAGTTCAAAAAATAACCCCAACCCAGTTTGCATCAATGTGTTTGAGTTCAGACGACTTCTCAGGAAATTATGTTCAACCAACAAACTTTATTGAGTTGATGGAATCAGTCGGTCCTTCAAAATTAAAGGTACTTTTTTAAGTTGATTGCTCATAAAAATTTTAACTTTTTCTCATTCTGAAGGAATTTGTCGATGTCGAACTTAATTACTGTATAATTTAAACAGAAGCGTTTTTAGGTTGACAAACTTTAAAAGATGAATTCATTTATTTATTTATTTTTTGTTTCATGTAGGTTTGGTTTTCCTCTCAGCTTCTGTTGTCGTCTGTTTGTGACATAAATTTAACATGAAGTCCAGTTTAATTGGAGTTTTGTAAAACTGTCGGTAACATTTTATTAGTGATTAAACTCTAAAAACAAATGACAAATGTTCAACCAACAAACTTTATTGAGTTGAGGGAACCAGTTTTTCCTTAAAAATCGAAGGTACTGCTCATAAATATTAAACGTTTTTCTCACGTTATTTGAAGGAATTTGTCGGTGTTGCACTTCATTAATATAATTATAAACAGAACCGTTTTTAAGTTGACAAACTTTTAAAAAATTAAGTTGCCTTCATTCCATTTTCTATTCTTATTTGTTCATGTAACAGCTTTTATAATATTATCATAATTGCTGGTATTTTATTTATTTTGACCTGCAGTCACTTTAAAACGTACTTGATATCATATTTATCCTTTAAAACTCAACGTTAACCTTCAGAATTTGTCCATTTTTAGCAGAAATCTTGAGTTCATGGTGCAGAAAAATAAAATTCATTAAGTTAGCTCAATTCAAATTTAGCTTTGAATCAATTAACGTGCAGATTAGAGGTTTAATTGCACGCACAGTACATTACTATGAAAAAACAACCAAAATAAAACATCAGAATAACGTTTGCAAGCTTTCTCTTAATCAGTAAATTGGATGTTTTTCTTGTTGTGGTTTTCCGTCACGATGCAGATGTTGGTACCAAACGTTTCGCCTCCTCTCCTGCAGTGTCTGATCATCGGCGGGGGTCCGTGTGGCCTCCGGACCGCCATCGAGCTCACGCTGCTGGGCTGCAAGGTGGTGGTGATCGAGAAGAGGGACACGTTCTCCAGGAACAACGTTCTCCACCTGTGGCCCTTCACCATCCACGACCTCCGGGGCCTCGGGGCCAAGAAGTTCTACGGGAAGTTCTGCGCCGGATCCATCGACCACATCAGTGAGTGTCGATCAGGAGCTGCTCTCGTTTTGATGCCCTGATCAGTAAATCTGTCGGGAAGTGAAGGCGTAGCGACACATAAAACACACGTTTTCAGCTCAGCAGAGAAAACAGTGTTTTAAAAACGGTCTGAAGTGCCTCACTGGACTTGATTCTTCCTCTAAGAGTCAAGAAAGAATGAATGTAAGAATCGCCGACAGATGCACGAATCAAATCTGCTCCACCTCTAGAAGTCCAGTCAGGTGGTTCGCCGCAGATTGTTTGGTGCTTTCAAAATGCAAAACGTCGTCAGCTTTCATGTGTCTGAGCTTCAAACGTCATCATCTGTGTTTCCTCTGCTGCGGTTTCCATTTAACTCCCATCAAACACGTGGTTTTAGTCACTTTTTGTGGATTTTTTTGTAAATAAATGGTCGATGTCTGCTACAGTTTGCTGCCATTTACGGATTTTTTTTCCAGTGAAGTGAGACGTTTTTCTTCTGTTTCAAGAAAGTAGGTTAGAACAATCGATCGCTGCTCAGGTCAGATAGTTTCAAAGCTGCTATTTTGTTTGGCTCTGGACGTCTTTTAAAGTTAGCAGACGTGCCAGCAGGGTCGTGGGAGTGTTCCTCCGACTACAACCTAATTTATTTCCATGTTGTGAGACCTGAAAACAAAAAGACGTAGAAACGCTGCTGCTTCACTTTGTGCTCAACCTGAAAATCACATCGTCGGCTCACCAAACCAGCTCTATTTTTATTATCTGCGTTCGCCGTCGCAGCGATTCTGTGACCGTCGGACGGTTTTTCTGCAGCCTGCTTTGCTGCAGTTTGCTTCTCGAGTCTCCTGAGTGGGAAGCTTCCATCTGTGCTTCTTGCTGTCCAGCTTTAGTAACGGTGTCATGTATTAATATCTGCTCCGCTCAGCGCCGCCTCGCCTGGTCTGTGTTTGCAGCCTCGTGAATTATGAAAAACATGAAAATATCAGCTACAGGGGCGCTTTAGAATATTTCTTTTTAAAGCTTTTTTTTTTTAGCCCCAAACACCCAAAATTAATCAGAGACTCACAGAACAGCAGAATTACAATAGTTAATATTATTTTATGGTAATTTAATCGAGGCTTGTAGCAGAAAACATCAAAGTAATCACGGTGAACTTTATAGACTCTAATAAGTGTATAAAGTGTATTACGGTAAATGACATGAAGTTTACAGGAAGTGTAGTTTCTGGGTGAGTTGATCTTCTTCTTCAGAGGTTTAGATTTGTGTCCGTCTACCATCATGGAGAAATCTGATTAGTCATCGTGGAGCTTAGCGAGTCCAAACATGCATCCAGAGCTCCGAGACGCCGAGGCCGCCTGAATCCTCACGAGATCTTGTTAGAACCTTGAAAACTGGGAAACGTACTGAGAGAACTGGCGCTCGCTCGCGTTATTTTTAGTGCCTGAAACGTCGGCAGTTTGTTGCGTGAAATCCAGTTGGTTTCACACCGAAGGACGCTTGGTGCTTCCTTCTTAGGCGTCCTGTGCAGCGGCGCTCTGCTCCCAGAGCTCCTGCACCGCCAGAGCAGCTCAGGAACAGGAACACATCTTCACGTTGAGTTTCATTTTAGGGAAGCAGAAGTAGTCTTTGTGCAGCAGCAACTGCGTTTTTGTTGACAGTCCCACAACTTTTTGATCAAAAATGATCCAACAATAGTAAAACTCTGACGTGGAACATACTTCTGCAGAATAAATATTCTCATTTTTAATTTATTTTTTCCACTTTGTTGATAAATTTTCTTTACTTCAAGACTTTAACTTCTAGTGGAAGTGAAGTCGGGTTACTTTTGCTTAACGTACTGAACATTTCTTCCAGCGCTGGTTGATAGAAGCCTGGCGTTGGCTTACATAAAGGAAGTTCCCCATCAACGGGCTGCAAATAATGATTCCTTTCATCGTTTATTCATTCATTATTTAGTCGTTTGGTCAATGAAATATCAGAAACTGGTGAAAAATGTCGATTAGTGTTGTCGCACAACCCAAATATACTCAGTTTGCTGTCACATAGAGGAAAAAAAACAGAAAATATTCACGTTTAAGAAGCTGTAATCACAGAATTTAGACTGTTTTCTTTAAAAATGACTCAATCTATCACCAGACCAGTTAACTAAAGGAGCTAATCTATTAACTTAATGGATATTAGGAGGGTGGTGAATCTCTACTGATCAGAAACAGATACAGGAAGTCAAATCTTTGTTCTGAAGTACGTCCTTGACAAAGTTAGGATTGTATAGTCATCTAGTTGTTGGTAAACCCATGTGGACTGCTTCACCTGTAGCTTTGCTTTATGTGATTTTTGGATATTCAGCGTGTTCTCTGGTGTGTTTTTGTGCGATTCCTCCCTGCAGGTATCCGCCAGCTGCAGCTGATGCTGCTCAAAGTCAGCCTGATCCTGGGAGTGGAGATCCACGTCAACGTGGAGTTCGTCAAACTGCTGGAGCCTCCAGAGCAGCAGGATGACGACAGTGAGTCTGAAGCTGTAAAACGAACGGCGTCGGGTCCGATCCTCGCTGCTGTAACGAGCTGCTGGAAGGTCCAGAGTCAGTTTTAGGGTCACAACTGTTTTAGTTGCTGTTTTACGTCACTGTGGCTTCTCACGGGTTTCCAGACTAATGCTCGTGATAGTCTGGTGTTATCAGAACGGTGAAGATCAGCGCCACGCCTGCATGTCTCAGCTATATATGGAAGCTGCAGCGTGTGTTGAAATGAGCAGAAAGGACGTCTGCAGCGGGAACGTTGAGGACAAACCGGGTGGAAAGCGGCTCTATTCATAGAATCTGCTGTTACTCACAGTTCGGTCCGGTCCGAGTCGGCTTTTCACAGGATCCTGAAGTATGCTAAGTGTCCTAAATACGCCCTGCTGGGAGTTTAACGCTTTAACGCTTCAGGAAACACGACGCGAGCATTCAGCAGCTGAGACCGAAGCTGCCGCACAAATAAATACCCACAGGGAAGGAAAACGGTTTTCTAACCATCACTGGGCCAAAGATTTACAGTCTGTAGGGTCAGTCCATGAAAAACCAACCAGTCCAGCTGGTTCTGTGTCTGCAGAACCTTTATCTACTGACCAGAGTTCTACCTTCAGACTGAGGTCCAGGTCCTTGAAGTCCACAGAGGAGGGTCCAGATTTATCACCTTAATGGACTTTTTCCATCATCTCTGAGCCTCAGAACTTCATCAGTACAGCAGATAGACACATGACATTTAGGAGGAAGAACACATCTGGGTTCTGGTAGAACCTGACACCAGATCAGTTCTACATCCATCCAGGAGTCATAGGCTGAAGATAAAAACGCAAACAGTCCAGTTATTGGTCATTTAAAAAGGACATAATGTCCAACCCAGGCTGGTACTGATCCATAAAGTTCCTGTCAGTGTCTATCTATGGATGGATCCATGGTTCCACTAGAACCCAGTCTCTGGTCACATTTCACCACCTGTTGAAGCTCTAACATCAGCAGAACCTGATGTGGTGAAGCTGGACCAGACCAGGTTCCAGGTCCCAAAATGTCTCATAATTATCCTACATGACTCAAAACGAGTCCAAAATGACTCCAAATTATGCAAAAATGTCCCAAATTAGTCCCAAAATTACTTTAATTGTCCAACAATTGACAGAAGTTGATCCAAAATGTGTTAGAAATGTAATTTTTAATAACTTTGTTATCATTGTGAGTAATTTTAAACAAATTTCTGGTTATTTTTGACAATTTTAATGGAATTTTAAACAATATATGAGCTGTTTTGAACAAATGTTGTGAAATTTTGGACACTTTATTTCATCATTTTGACCTTTTTTTTGATTCTCCGTTAAAAACTGCAACCAAAACAATTTTACATCCATCAAAGCGTCACAGTCTAATAACTAGATCTGCTTTTTTTCCTCCTTTGAGCATCAATATCACGGCATGTATCATAAACTGTCTGTTTTGTTAAAAGGGAAAAAACACAAAAAAAAGTCCAAAACTGTAAATAATTTCCTCATAAAACAAATAGTCATTTGTTTATTACAGTGTTTGACGACAACATTACACTGTTTTTAAATCTGCTAAAAAAAAACTTTCCCTGTTTTGCAGATATTTGCTTTTTCATTTCAGTTTTCTTTATAATAGTTTAGGAACATTTCAGTACTACTCTGTGGAGCCGCCCTTCAGACGAGATGATGAGTTGCTGTTCTTCCTCCTCAGGTCCTGGGTGGCGCGCTGAGGTCCGACCCGCCGGCCATCCCGTCTCAGACTTCGACTTCGACGTCGTGATCGGAGCCGACGGGCGTAAAAACACGTTAGACGGTGAGAGAACGACGCGCCTGCGCTCAAAGCTCGACTCTGTTTTCGGTGTCCGGCAGGAAGGTTGACGGTGTTTGTGTTTGCGGCTTCATGTTTGGGAGCTTTGTTGTGTTTGCCTCTGAACAGGCGACTCCTGAAGGTTTCACGTCCAGCACTGCTGTGAAACTCATGAACACTCACGACTGTACTGGACTTATAACATGCAGCCCTGAATATCTGCAGCTAAATATAAACCTCAGCTCCGCTCGGTTTCTGCTGCCTCAGTTATACGTCACACAAACAGCTGCAAACATCTAGAAATCCACAATTCCAGCCCAAAATCTGTGTCGAGTTACAATAACGTGAGTTGGTTGAACATTTTTCAGTTTCTTTTATCAAGAAGCAACCTAAAATGCAAAGTCTTGTGCGTCTGTCACCTGTCGGAGTCACACCTCTAACTGTAGCTGAACCCTCTGCTCTGGGTTTGTTGGGTTTTCTGCAGCTCTGTGGAAGCAGAATGAAGAAGGAGAGAGAACTCAGAGACGTCTTTAGTGCAGAGTGACACAAAACAGAAGAGCCGACCAACACGAGTGTTTAGAAACCTGGTGCTGACTCTGTGCAACGTGTCCACAGGTGTTGGAGAAACAAAAGGAGGCTCTGCTTGCTGTAAATGTTTCACCACGTACGCTCGAAATTAGTTCATGTACTCGTCTCAAACTCTCTGTTGGTCACAGCTTAGTTGGACAGAAACTAGATTTTTAGCTGATTTTTAAATATACCACGAAGAACAACGTGACTTTGTTGGAAAATCGCTGTTTTTTGTGAAGTTTTTGTCTTATTCTGTCGATTTCTGACCGATAAAAGGTGTAACTTGGACAATATGTTCAAAACATCTGGTCACATGTCGCTGAGCAAATGATTTAAGTAACATACATTACTGAAAATAAACATAAGAAAACTAAAATATGATGAGAAGAGAAAAAGTACGAAATAGCACGGCAGTGATTCTGAAGTAGCACACGATAAAGAAATATTACACAATAAGTATTAAATATTACACCAGAAAATATTAAATATTACACATTAAATATAAAATATTACTCCAGATAAATGAAATATTACACATTAAATAATAAGTATTACACCAGAAAATGAAATATTACACATTAAATATTAAATATTACACCAGAAAATATTAAATATTACACATTAAATATTACACCAGAAAATATTAAATATTACACCAGATAAATGAAATACTACACATTAAATATTAAATATTACACCAGAAAATATTAAATATTACTCCAGATAAATGAAATACTACATATTAAATATTACAAAATAAATATTAAATATTACACCAGAAAATATTAAATATTACTCCAGATAAATGAAATACTACACATTAAATATTAAATATTACACAATAAATATTAAATATTACACAATAAATATTAAATATTACACCAGATAAATGAAATATTGCACATTACGTTGACGTTGTTCATGAAATTGCAATATTTTTTAAAAATTCTAATAATAGATATATGTATATAAACACACAAACAACTGCATTTTGTTTAAGATGCACAACTGAATAATTTAAAATTCTCACTGAAACGCGAACGTCAAGGCTGTTACTGCACATTTTTTAAATTTAAAAACCCACATATTTACGTTTATGTTTATCACTGCGCTCTAATTATGTTCCTTCTTCTAATGTGTTGCGTGGTCAGCGTGTATTACTGCCTCTGCTTGCTGCATTTTACTTAAATTTATTATTTAAACCTTAAATCGACCAAACCTCCACTTTTGACCAAATTTAACCAGATTTTTTCTCCTTGAGACGCTTAAAAATCCGACGTACCTGGAATACTTCCTCCCTGCAGGTTTCTCTCTCTGTTGTTCACTGCTTCGGTTTCTTTTCTCGTCTCGGCAGGTTTCCGTCGGAAGGAGTTTCGAGGGAAGCTGGCCATCGCCATCACGGCCAACTTCGTGAACAGGAACACGACGGCCGAGGCCAAAGTGGAGGAAATCAGCGGCGTGGCGTTCATCTTTAACCAGAAGTTCTTCCTGGAGCTGAGGGAGGACACGGGTGAGTGAGGAGGAGGTGGACAGGTGGACAACAACAGGATGACCTCTTCGGTTTGCTTCTCTAAAAGCTGCTGCTGCTGCTTCTTCCAGGGATTGACTTGGAGAACATCGTCTACTACAAAGACAACACTCACTACTTCGTGATGACGGCCAAGAAGCAGAGTCTGCTGGACAAAGGAGTCATCATAAACGTGAGTTCACTGACTCTGACGTCTATTGACATCTGGTGTTTTATGTTTTTAACGTTTTGGGTGATTTTGGGAAATTTCACACGTTTTCAGACCTGAAAATGTTCTATTTTTACCCTCAGAAACACTCCGTGAAGCCATTTAAAGGTTCAGTAGCTCCAGAAATAAAACTCCAACAGTCATGAGATGTGGTGAGGACTCAGACAGGATAGTTTATGTCGGATCAGGATGATTGAATGGATCCAGCAGAGGACACAGTTTGAATTATTGGTCCTTAAAGAATGACATAGTGTTCAATCCATAAAGTTCCTGTCAGTGTCTATCTATGGATGGATCCATGGTTCTACTAGAATCCAGTCTCTGGTCACATTTCACCAACTGTTCAGGCTCTAACATCAGTAGAACCTGATGTGTGTATTGACATAAAAACGTCCACAAAATTGACAGTAAATTATCCAAAAATTGTCCAAAACTGACATAAAATTGTCTTAAACAGCCTAAAATTGTCAAAAATCACTAAAAATTGCACCAAAATTACTTACATTTTCTCCAAAAGTACTCAAAATGATCCAAAATGACTCAGAGTCCTCCAAAAATGGCACAAAAATGTCCTAAATTTGTCAAAAAATTGACCTTTATTGTCCACAAATTGACAGTTAATTATCCAAAATTAGTCAAAAACTGAGAAAAACTTTAACAAACAACTTAAAACTGTTTAAATGACTAAAAATAGGCTCAAAATATCTTAAATTTTGTCCAAAAATACTGAAAATTATTCAAAAATGTCCTAAATTAGTCCAGAAATGACCTCAGTTGTTCAAAAATGGACAGAAAATGACCCAAAATTGTCCAAAACTGACATAAAATTGTTCAATGTTCCTAAAAATTGTCCATATTGACAATAATGGATCATTATGAGCTCTTGATAATGGAAAAAAAGGACTAAACCTCCAACCAGGCTGGTGTTGATCCAGAAAGTTCCTGTCAGTGTCTGTCTATGGATGGATCCATGGTTCTACTAGGATCCAGTCTCTGGTCACATTTCACCAACTGTTGAGGCTCTAACATCAGTAGAACCTGATGTGGTGAAGCTGGACCAGACCAGGTTCCAGGTTTTAGACAGTTTGACCTGAAAGCAGTTTATAATTTCCCAAAAATGTCCCGTTATTGTCTGAAACGACTTGAAACGAGTCTTGAATGACTCAAAATTCTACAAAATCACTTAAAATCAGTCCAGAAATGAGTCAAAAATGACTTGAAATTGTTTAAAACTGCTCGAAATGTGACCAGAATTACTCAAGATTTGATTAAAGTGACTATAAAGGTGTATTCATTGTTGTTAATATGGACAATTTAAGTAATTTTGGAGCAATGTTTTACTAATTTTAAACAATTTTAAGTTGTTCAAGACAATTTTATGTCAGTTTTGGACACATTTTGGATAATTTTCTGTAAATTAAGGTCATTTTTGGGCTGATTTAGGACATTTAGTGTCATTTTGAACAAAATTTAAGTAATTTTGTGCCAATTTTTAGTAATTTGTCACTATTTTAGGTTGTTTAAGACAACTTTATGCCATTTTTGGACTAATATATGACATTTTTGCATCATTTTTGGATCATTTGGAGACATTTGAGAGAATTCTGATTCATTTTGGACACATTTCGAGTCATATAGAACAATTATGAGACTTTTTTGGGACCTGGAACCTCGTCTGGTCCAACTTCACCACATCAGGTTCTGCTGATGTTAGAGCCTCAACAGTTGGTGAAATGTGACCAGAGACTGGATTCTAGTAGAACCATGGATCCATCCACAGACAGACACTGACAGGATCTTTATGGAGACATGATGCCACAATCAGTTGAACATTTGTCACCTTTTTTTGCATTTTCAAAGACAAATAATTAAAAAATGTCCAAGATCGTTTTTACTTTTTGAGTCCAAGACAACAAATCCGTAAACATGGCTGCCGTCTGAATTGACCCAAACGGACCCTCTCTTCAGATGAAAACTGTGTTAATGTTGGTTCTGGTTGCCAGCAGATGTTTTCTCATAGTTTTCTATAATTAAATTAACACCGAAGCGCACACACACCGGCTCACAGATTTAAGGGCAGAGAGTCAAAGTGTTTCTCAGGTCGACAGGAATGTGTTTGTTCGGCAGATGGGTGAGTGATGAACCTCCACAGGGACGATGATGATGATGAATGGAGCTCTAATTAAATCCTGGCTGCCTCTCACCTTCCTTCTATCTCCAACAGAGATCAGAGCGTATAAATAAGACTGGACCGTGATGGAAAACTGCTGGTAAACGCTCTCTGTTTTCACCGAATTACCCCAAACACGTCTCGTTTTTCTCCACTGTGGCTCATTTTTCACTTCAACATGAAGTCCTGCAGCTCGGAAACAGAACAACCACGAAGAAGGAGAGAAACTAGAGACGGATCCAACCGAGAAGTCCAAGAATTTGTGCCACGTGATGATTGGTCAATTTAAATATGACTTTGACTCACAGGCAGCCAGTGCAGTGATTGGACTGGCGTGATACGGTCCAGTTTAGAGTACGGTGGTGACTCGATAATCGGCCCTTTACCATTCCTAACCTTGTTTTCCGCCGGTTTTTAGGAAGAACCAACAGAACCCATAAAAGCAGCCTTAACATAGCGACAGCCTTGGATTGTGACTCCGACATGACATTTAATGTCACCAATCAGGATGACGGCGTATTATCTGACTGAACAATCCCACAGATTGGCTACGTTCACACTGCAGGACTTGATGCTCAATGAGGATTTCTTTGTGACTTCCTTCACGTTTCCACTTCAATGCGACTTGTATGTGATCTGCTGTGTGAACTTCATACGACCCAAAAGTGTCCCGCATGCGCAGAAGAGGACACGACGACGTCACACGCAGCGAGCGTGCTCAGTGTTTATGGAAGTAAACATGGATGGTAACGGTGGAGCGTATCTGCCACTCCCCCGCCGCCACCGATGGAGGAAACAGAAGTGTGAGCGCTAACTAAACTAGCATCAGCAGCCAAGTACTGCCTGTGTGTTCTGGACACTTCCACCCCGTCAGAGCGCTGCCCCGGGGTGGAAGTGTCCCCCAAGACCTGGGCGAATATGCAGATATTCATCATTAATTGGGCCCAAAAAGTGCTATTGGGACCAGCCCTACTAGTTATTATAACAACTATGAACAATAATGAACAACTAATGAGCCTTCCAGCATCAAGCCCTCCTCGTATCTGGACCTCCGTCTGGACAATCCGACATAAGAGAAGGTTTTACATTTAGTGTTGGATCATTGAGTCACGACTGTATTTGTACACTCACTGCGGTATCAGTACTTCAGAATGCGAGTACTTCGACCACCTCTGCGTGTTTAAGGACCACTGAGACGCACGCCGGTGTCGAAACTCTGCCTGCCGAGGCCTCCTTCTCGTCTTACATTACCCATTAACGCTGAGTGATTCCTGCCTGTCAGCTGCTCCACAGCCGGAGAACACGTGGTCCAGCTTCAGGCGCCTCATAATAACTCACCGACGGACTCGCTTTCAGTTTGTTCCCGCTGCAGGGACACTCGCAGATCCAAAGTCAGGAATATAGAATCCGTCTCTGAATCCAACCTGGGTTTACATTGACGAAGCTGATGAGATAATAATTCGTCTCTCTGCTCACAAATCAACAGTTATGTATGAATATAAATATGAAGGAGGCCCCGAGGCATCGTTCAGTTAAACTGATCCCTCGTCACTCTGGAGCTCATCAAGGAGCCACAAGCTGACAGAAGAATCAGGAACTGGACTCTGGGGTCTCCTGAAGGATAAATACTGTCGGCTGGAACCTCGTGAATTTTATGTTTCTGATATTTCTGGAAATGCCCAAAGCCACAATCCCGTCATTTAGGAGCTGCACAGTGATAAAAAAGTTTCAAGAAGAAGAAGCAAATGAACTTAATGTGTGTATTTAAATATAAAACGACTAATTGAGTAGGATAGAGCTGAAAGTATGTTTCTGTAAATATATATGACAACTTCACAGCAAAGAAACTGAGAGCAAAAGAAAAACAATTTTTACATCGTAGAAGATAAAATGCTATCATGCAGGTTAAAAACAGGCATTAGTACATTGCTTTAATATACTTTAATCAGCAGATTAAACTGTTTTCATCCCTCTGAACTGGCTTTTTATGTTATTTGTTTTGCTCCCCTTTCATTTTTCGCTATTATATATCGCCCTGCACCGCTATCAAAACAGAAGAACTGTTTTCCAAGATATTAACAATCTCGACATACTATATCTGTATATTATTGTTTACATTTTAAATTAGCTTCCATGTCTCCTCTCTGCTCTGAGTCCGTCATATTTTCTCGGTTGCGTTGACGAGCACAGAATGTGAACTAATGAAAAGACTCTAATTAGTGCAAACAATTTATTTGTGGTACATTTTTAAACGGCGGTGATTCTGAATCTGCAATATTGGACAAGTAGATGAAATAATCTGTGAATGTGAGTGAGTTGAAATGTGAAAAAAAAAAGTGTAATCCATCCTGGAAAGTCCCGCCTTTGAGCAAATTAGCAAAAGCAAACGATAGTGCAGTAGTCAGCTGGTGATACCTTTTGAAAAAAATGCAGCTGCATCTCACAGTAATACAAAACAAACAGAATACTTTTAATGTGAAACACTTGATCACAACAATGGGGGCAAATAGTTTTTTTTATAGAACTTTCATAACAGATTGAGCATGAATGATAAGCTGTACCACAAAAACATGAGTAGAAAGTCTTAATATAACAGATTCTGAACCAATAAAATAACAGTGAACATTTCAGCTTTTTAAAAAATCTTTCATAGTTCCTCAGATATTGTTGTTCAAACAGCCTCACATTTCAATGTGGGGAAAAAAACCTGCTGCCACTGAGTCGACGGGAAATTAAAAATTTATCTTGATGTAAAATAATAGATACTACTTTAAATATATGCAGTTTATTTAATGAAGCAGAAATTGTCAAGCAGACGGCCCCTAAAATGGACAGTTTTATTAATTATCTTGAACTTGTTTATATAAAAACTTTTGCAGCTTTGAAGGATTCGGCTCAGATGTCTGTTTCCTGCCTTAAACCCGCCTCCTGTTCTCTTCTTCAGGACTACATAGAAACCGAGCGACTGCTGAGCCCCGACAACGTCAACCAGGAAGCCTTGCTGTCTTACGCCCGCGAGGCGGCCGACTTCGGCACAAACTACCAGCTGCCGTCGCTGGACTACGCCATCAACCACTACGGGCAGCCGGACGTGGCCATGTTCGACTTCACCAGCATGTACGCCTCCGAGAACGCCGCCCTGATCCGGGAGAAACATGGACACCAGCTGCTGGTCGCGCTGGTGGGAGACAGTCTGCTCGAGGTACACGGAGTTAGCACCATTAAACCTGTAGCTAACACTGTCACTACCGCTAGCTACAATGTGATGCGGCGTTAGCTAGCAACGGGCACCATGACAACGACCTCTGTGATAGTTAATGACCTCCACATTCTGAATACGAGCTGACGTTTATAGGGTAGTGAATCCTTAACCGAGTGGCTAAAATTAGCTTCATCAGTGTGTGTTGTGCGAATTGAGAAGAGAAGGGGACCAAGCACTGACCCTTGAGGAACCCCTGTGGATGGGTTGTGCGGTTCGGACGCTTCTCCCCTCCAGGATTACTCTGAAGTATCTTCCTGAGAGCTACGTTATATCCGTAGCAAACACTGTTATGACGGCTAGCCGCTGTAGCTAGCTGCTGTAGCTAGCTGCTGTTGCTGCTTACCACTCACTGGGTTTAACGCCACGTTCTCCGTTTGCAGCCCTTCTGGCCGATGGGAACCGGCTGTGCTCGAGGATTTCTGGCTGCTTTCGACTCTGCCTGGATGGTGAGGGGTTGGACACAAGGAAGGAGCCCTCTGGAGATCCTGGCTGAGAGGTGCTTCAAGCTTTAAAAACAGCACAGTCATGGGCACATGTATGTTGCGTGTTCAGTTAGCATTTGTTCTCTGAAGGTGATGGTGTCTTTAGATATCTGTGTTCTAACAAAGCAAAAGGTGCTCTGAAGTTCTGCTGCGTCTTAAATCGGCCTCTTCTATCTGTTCTGTTTCCACCAGGGAGAGTCTTTACCGCCTGCTGCCTCAGACCACCACAGAGAACATCAGTAAAAACTTCGAACAGTACTCCATCGATCCCGCAACCCGCTACCCGAACCTCAACTCCAGCTGTGTGCGTCCACATCAGGTCGGTCCGGCGATACAGAAACATGCGTTTGAACCTAATCTAGCATCAGAGAAAAGAGACGAATGTAGTACAAACCTGCCCAAAAGCAGCTGCGTTTTTAGAGGTTTTCGCTGCCTCCGTATCTTTCTGTACAGTCAAATGATTAAAGCTGCATTCAGACGTCATACAGTCCGTCTCTCAGGGAACAGGAAGAAGCAGGCAGCCTTGGACTTGTAATGAGGTTTCTTCCATCTTTGTCTACCGATGAATTACAGCTGCCAGCTTCTAAGAAAGCAACGAAATGAAACAGGACTGAGCCAAGGCCAAACAGGACGAGTCTTCACAGAGCAGACAGGAGGCGGCAGAACATGTCAAATAAACTGCAGAAATATTAATGTGGATGTGTAATAATTTATAAACATGAAACAGTAAGTTGGCTCACCTAATATCAGATTAAAACGTCTTCCTCTCTGAGTCTCTGGAAACTGTAGCGTTAAAATGAAGATTAACTCGCTTAAAGAAATGTGCTTTTTCCGGATACTCGGTGGAAGAGAAATTCCTCTTCTCTGTTTACCAGCAGGCTGGGATTTGTTTTGAACTAAACTCTGCCACAAATGCAGCATTGTGAGATCCAGCGTTGTGATGCCAGCCGGCTCCAACCCCCCGACGGCAGCGACGATTGTGGCCGCGCACAGATAATCATCTAGCATGCAAACTTTTGTGAAGGAAATATTTGGACAGGCGGAAAGTGTCGATGCTCGCATGAGACATGCAAACATATCACATTGCCAGCACAACCACCCAACAATGGCCGCTTTTGTGCAGTTTAAAGGACTCGACGAGGACTAATTGCTTAACATAATTGCTTTAATTCGCATCGTTATTTGTGCACGGTCGGTTCTGTTCGAAGCCTCTGAACCGGACTGTTCTCAGAGCCAGAGCATCAGCAGGTCTTTAGGTATGAAGAAACAGACATTACAGCCTTTGAGGTCACAAATAAGAACATTGTGATCGAGGTTTGTGCTGTAGGAAGATGTTTAATCCTTTTTTATGGGGATTGAGACAACGATATTACACCTGTCACTAGTGCTGGCGTCAGTAGCTTCTGTCACCAAGGGTTGGTTTTTGCAAAAACTTGATTCTTTAATTCAAGTTGATTCGGTTTTATTGGTTATTCCATCCATGCATTTTAGGTTTCTCTACCTGGACAAAACAGCTTATTGATTATTGATTGATAATGCAGCCCAATTAAGAAAGTTGTAAAAGCGTTGTGGGAGAGGACTGTGCTGTAGGAAGCTGTTTGATCTTATTTTAATAGAGTTTAAGACGACCGCATTCTACCTGTAGTGACTGCAAGCTACAGCACCAAGTGTCAGTTTTAGCAAAGCTGAACTCTCATCCATAGATTTTATGTTTCTTTACCAGGATCCAATTAATTTTTTTTTACAAATACTGCTGTAAAGTGCTGACAAAGCGTGGTGTACGAGGTGCTATAAAAAGGTGCCTGTAAAGATATAAGCTGGACTTCTATCCCTGTTGAAGAAGTGTCCTGGTGCAGCGATACTCTGCTCCCAGTGCTCCTGTAACGCTCCCTGGAAGTCCATTCCTCAGCCAACCACCATAAACTAGTCAACCCTTTAGCAAATTTCATTGTAGGGAAGAGAAAGAAGTCGCAGGAAGACAGATCTTGCAAGTCACGCAAAGATTGTGTTTTGTGGTCGTAAATACGTCCCGGTGAACACGTGTGTCAGTACGTCTCTTCACCTCTTTCTATGTTCTTTCTTGTTTCTCAGGTGCGTCACCTGTTCATCGACGGTCGGCAGGACTCGGGTCTCGTGGAACGAGGAGGACTGACTCGTAAATCAGTCAACCTGTCCAGAAGAGGTGAGAACGTTTCCTCGAGCTTCACTCTGGTTCTCAAGCTTCCAAAACATCCAAGAGCTTATTTAGTTCTCACGTTTGTGAAGATCAGTGGAAGCTTATCAGGATAGAAGTCTTGTAGCCTAGCAGAAAATTTCGCATGTCCCTGGTCCAGATTAGCTTCATTAGCATATAGGTGGGTGGGTGGGTAGGTAGGTAGG